TTTTAATGATCTTTACATAGAATGCTTATTGCGTTCGTCCAAATTCATTTAACTCATTTTCTGGCGTCAGTATAATAGGAACACATAAAACTTCCTCTACTGATCCGTGCGTCTCAAGAAAACTGATTTTCGAATAAGGTTGGACATTCTCGGGTATAAAATTTTGCCTGACTTATTAACCCAGGCACACATTGTCGTGATGCAAGGAATTAAAATGTCACAACTATTATAAATTTAGGAAAAAAAAGATTAAATTTAATGCAAATAATGAAATTAATATAAAAACAATACTAAACATAAATGTGTGTTTATTGTTTTTAATATATATCATGTCTGGATTTTGTTATACACACACACACACACACACACACACACACACACACACACACATATATATATATATAAGTGTGTGTGCATATATGTGTGTCTGTAATGTGTGTGTGTATAGAGGGGTGATTTCATAAACAGTGCTTCCAGCTGCTAATGCAATACTCTTCTACTTGAATAGAGCTCTCCTAGCTATTGAGGTCTTTCGCATAGTAAAAACGTTAAAATTTCCCTTTTGCTCTGACGATAGCTTAGGGGTAGAATTATCTTACTGATGACAAATTGGTTGGGTTTCGATCCTGAATTGAAGCAATCGGATGTCTGGTCACACTGATGAACTGTGATACAGCGAAACGGTCTGTCTGTAGATGACTGTAGATACATATATAATATCTTGTTAAATTACATATAGCTTTCCTTAGACCTATATCCTTTTGGAAATATCTACATCTGATTACCAATATTATCATTAAATATATATATATATATATATATATATATATATATATATATATAGATAGATAGATAGATATATTTATTTATACACACACACACACACACACACACACACACACACACACACATATATATATATATATATATATATATATATATATATATATATATATATAGTAATTACGATCCCAATGTAATAAATTTTAACCCTGGAATATTAGTTTTTGAGCCATTCATATTATATATATATATATATATATATATATATATATATATATATATATATATTGTATATTTAGGCATCAATCCTTCCTTTATGCATGTTTCATTAAAAACGACACACAAGGTACTACGTTTAAGCTTTTTATTATAATTTTTCTTGTATTCGAACAAGAGCTTTCGTTTCTTGACAAACAGTTTGTAAAAACTGTCCAAATGTTTTATAGTTCCGAGCGCTTTCGGCTATTACCTTTATCCATTATCAAGGATTATTCGATTTTTTAGATCAATTCAGTGTGTATATTATGTGTATATTTTGGTGTGTTGTAGAGATGTTTTTAATTTCCGAGTACGGTTAGCACATTGTGGCCTTGTTGGTAGTTAATATTGTTAAGATTTGTTTTTTTTTTCATTTTTCTTATTAAAGCTTTTATTATTTTTAAACTTTTTTACAGGTGGATGAATTTGTTATATTTGTGTTTTCTACTAGTATGTTTCTAATGGAATCTGGTAAGTTTGTGTGTGTGCTTAAATGAGTTCTAATGGATCTATGATCGGATAGGTGTAAGGCAATGTATCCAGACGCCTTACATTACATTTTTGTATTTAAGAAAGTGTTGGCTTTAACGAGAAGAGCTATATAAAGGGAGGTAATTGTGACTATTCAACAGACGTCAGGGAAACTGATATTTTTTTATGAAGAATTAATTCTTATGTAAATTTAAAAAGCAAAATTCTTTCAAATGTTTGTTTTAGTTTTTAAACATATTTTTTGCTAAAATGGCGGTTTAAGTTATTTCCTTGAATATCTTTATTTTTTAGTACAGCCATATATTTAAAAAAAACACGGGGATATAAATGATACTTATAGATATCTGCGATGATTGCGCTTCTGTTTTTTTAATACTTTGAAGAATTCCTATGCTTTATTGCAGTCCTTACTGTTCTGTGTTTGTGAAAGAATCCTTATTGAAAAAACATTTATGTTTTCTATATAGGGAAAGACAAAACCCTTTTCTTTTGTGCCTTTTTCTGCTATGATCAAATAAAATGAAAACGGTTAATTCTAGCATTAGACTTAAGTAGACAATTTCAGTTCCATGAAGATTTATTGATTACTAAATGTTTTATAATTGCTGCAGAATCGTAGATGCCTGTTCCTAAATGTAGACTTTATGTTACCTTGGATTATATTTTCATAGCTATTCGATCTTTTTTCTATTACAAATATTGTAGAGTGAATCGGATAACAATAGAATAATTTATTTAAATTGTTTTTGCAACTAGGTTCTCATTATAAAGAATCTTAATTCGCCATTATAAAGAATCTTAATTCGCCCGGCCGATTTTTCGGCTGGGGTTTTTGACAAATATTGGATCGTTTCTTGGCCTATGGCTGAGATTCGATCAAGGCTTTGACTAGCTTGGACTGGCTTCGGCCTGGACCTGTTAGAACAAGTCATGACCAGCTTTGACTCGGCTCTGACCAGCTTGGACAAGCTATGACCAATTTTGACCAGTGGCCTTTGAGTGGAAACGCTCGGGTCTCCCACGTTAATCGACCTTGTATCATATCTTGATTTTGTGGGAATCAAGTAAATACCATACCATTATAAAGAATCTTAGTACCCTTCTTAAACCTTTATTTGTTCATCGACAATATTATTTATACTGGGGCAATTAAAAACGTGTCCGGAGACAGCGTAACTTTTTAGCCAGTGAAGAAGACCTTATGTCGAATCTTCTAAAAGCTTTCGCGATGTCCAAAGTTACACCACATTCTTCTTCGCATGATACTCTTTCACTTTTTCCGTAATTATCGTCATTACATCAGAAGTTGACCTGGAGAAACGAAAGACATATTTCCTGTCTGAAAAAAAAAAAGCCCTGTGATGAGAGATACATAACCCATTTGGCATTGACTAGAATCTCTAGGAGTTTCCCTAAAAGAGTTAGCAGGCTAACTGGCCAATATGAGGAAGGTGGGACGGTTCACCCGTGTTCTTAAAAACTGGAACAACAGCAGGCGAGAAAGCAAGAGGCATCGAGCCATTTATTATATATTTTAGAGAGAACATGAGTCAGTTCTGGAGCACACATCCTAATGACTATAATAGAGACATCATCGGGTCCACATGCTTTGTGGGGATCTTGGTGAGAGTTGATAACAGAGGCCATGTGAGAGGTTACATGCATATTACTCAAATGAGACTCAGTTCTATCTGGAAAGTTAAACAGGGCTACTCCAGATGAGTCAAGAATACAATTTAAGGAGAATTTACGAGCAAAGCATTCAGCTTTATCAGCATAGGATGTTAAAATCTCAAAATGACTGAAGAAGAGAGACACAGAGACCCTTAGAGTTATTTAATACACAGTACCGCGAGTAATCATGAGAACCAAAATTGTTACATACAATTCGGTGGCTCATTCACTAGACAAACAGGGAGTTCGAGAACTCGTTTACATTTATAACGAGAAGCAACGACTATGCGTCTGTTGTGACGGAAGCTGTCACGCTGGTATATTTATTTAATTATTTTATATGTTTTATATATTGTATATTATTTTTATATTTTATATTTCATATTATAACAAATTGGATATTTATATTTTATATTTGTATTCATTATGTATTCAATTTATTTTTATTCATTAGATTTCATATTTCATATTATTTAGTATTTCATGTCTGCATTTTATATTGAAGATTTATATTTTACATTTTATATTCTGTTATATTCATATTTTATATTATTTTACTATATACTTTTATATTTTAATATCTATATATATATTTATATCACTTTTTATATTATTATATACTTTATATATTATATTTATATTTCATATTATGTCATATTTTATATTAGTCTATATTTTTAAATTATTAATGGGTTATATTACATTTTATTTTTCATATTTTATATTAATATTTTATATTCTTTTATATTCTTTATATTTAATATTATTTTATATCTTATATTCGTATTTCACATTTATATCTTTATTAATATCTTTTTTCTTAAATTTATATTTCATATTATATATTAATACTTTCTGTTTTATATTATTTAACATGTTATATTATTTTATAATGTATTTTATATTTATAATTTTATATCTGTAATTCATATTTTATATTAATAATTTATATTTTATATTATTTTATATTTTTTATTGATATAGTAAATTAAAATTTAATGTTTATACATTATATTTCTAAATTATTATATTTATACTATTTATATTTTATATTTATAATAGTTTCAATTTATTTTTGTTTATGTTATATTATATATATATATATCATATTTATTTTTATAATAATATTTGCATTTATATCATTTTATATTGATATTTTATATTTTATATTATTTTATGTTTTAATTTTATATTTTATTTTTATATTTTATATATTATTTTATATTTTATATTTATATTTTATATTTATATTTATATTTATTTTAGAATCAATTTATTTTATTTAATTATGTCTCATTTTATGTTTATATTTTATATTATTTTATATTATTTTCTATTTTCTATTTCTATTTTCTATTTTTATTAATTATAGATTCAGTTTATTTTATTCAATTATGTCATATATTATGTTTATATTTTATATTATTTTATATTTTATATTTATATTTTATATTTATATTTATTTTAGAATCAATTTATATTTATTTAATTATGTATCTTTTTATGTTTATATTTTATGTTATTTTATATTTTATATTATTTTATATTTTATATTTATATTTTATTTTTATATTAATCATTGATTCAGTTTATTTTATTTAATTATGTCATATATTATGTTTATATTCTATATTATTTTATATTCATATTTTTTATTTATATTTATTATAGATTCTTTGTTTATTTAAGTATGTCATATTTTATGTTTATATTTTATATTATTTTGTAATTTATATTTATATTTCATCAAATATCACACTTCTAAATAGGTACGTACTAGTATATACCAATGTTCACTTCCTTAAATATTGGCAGATTACATATAAGCGCAAAATGGAAATAAAGAACAAATGTAGATTGAGAGAGTTGGAGTGTGGGAGAGTTTTCAGCACATAGAGGAATGGGGGGGGGCGGAGAAAAGTCAGTCGGTCGAAAACAGGAGAAATGAATAGAGAATGAAAGACAGAGGCAAATAATTCATTCTGAATCGGCGTAAGAGAATTAAAGATAGAATAAAAGGATAGAGAAGGTGAAAGAGTTCGTGCTGTGGGGGGGAGTGTGTTTGAGTGAAAGAGAGGACGAAACACAAGTAGAATAGTGAACGGGGGGGAGAAATATACCGTGATGAAAAGAAAGAAAGAAAGAAAGACAAAAAGAAAAGAGGGGGAGAAAGAGAGAAATAAAGAAAGAAAGAGAGAGAAAGTGATAGAGAGATGGAGATAAATGAATGAAAAGAAAGAAAGAAAGAAAGACAGAAAGAAAGAGAGAGAGAAATAAAGAAAGAAAGAAAGAAAGAAAGAAAGAAAGAAAGAGAGAAAGTGATAGAGAGATGGAGAGAAATAAATGAAAAGAAAGAAAGAAAGAATGAAAGAAAGAAAGAAAGAAAGAATTAAAGAGAGAGAAAGAGATAGAGAGATGGAGAGAAAAAATGAAAAGAAAGAAAGAAAGAAAGAAAGAGAGAAATAAAGACAGAAAGGGGGAGAAAGAGGTAGAGAGATGGAGAGAAATAAATGAAAAGAAAGAAAGAAAGAGAGAAATAAAGAACGAAAGAGAGAGAAAGAGATAGAGAGATGGAGAGAAATAAATGAAAAAGAAAGAAAGAGAGAAATAAAGAAAGAAAGAGAGAGAAAGAGACAGAGAGATAGAGAGAAAAAATGAAAAGAAAGAAAGAAAGAATGAGGGAAAGAAAGAAAGATAAAAGAGGGAGAAAAAGAAAGTGAGAAAGAAAGAAATAAGTAAAGAAAGAAAGTGAGAAAGAAAGAAATAAGTAAAGAAAGAAAGAAAGAAAGATAAATAAATAGAGAAAAAGAGAAAGAAAGAAAGAAAGAAAGAAAGAGGGAGAAAAAGCGAGAAATAAAGAAAAGAGAGAGAAAGAAATAGAGAAATGGAGGGAAATAAATGAAAAGAAAGAAAGGAAGAAAGAAGGAAAGAGAAAGAAAGATAAAAGAGGGAGAGAAAGAAAGTGAGAAAGAAAGAAATAAATAAGTAAAGAAAGAAATAGAGAAAGAGATAAATAAATAGGGAAAGAGAGAAAGAAAGAAAAAAGAAATAAGTGAGAAAAAGAAAGAAAGAAAGAAAGAGAGAAAGAAACAAATAAAGAAAGAATAAGGGAAAGAAAGAGAGAAAGAGAGAAATAGTGAAAGAGATAAATAGAAAAATAAGAGAAAGAAAGAAATAAGAGAGAAAAACAAAGAAAGAAAGAAAGAAAGAAAGAGAAAAAAAGCGAAAGAAAGGGAAACATAAAGAAAAAAAGGAAGAAAGAAAAAAGAGATAAAGAAAGAAAGAGAAAAAGAGTGAAAGAAAGATAGAAGGAAAGAAAGAATGAAAGCTATAAAGAAAGTGAGAAAATAAAGAAGAAATTTGAATTCTATTAAAGGGATTATTGACACAGGGAGAGAAAAGCAATGAACGTAGTCTCCTTGCATTGGAATTTACAGAAGAATATTAATCGCTATAGTCGCGAAACGAACAAAGAAAAAAAAAAGTCTCCGGAAATAGCACGAAACAAGATGGAGACACAATATGCATTTCATCATTTATTTTTATTTTTATTTTTTGTTGAAATTCTATTCAGAAGGCACAGGCACGTTTTCCGAATTCCCAAGCACAGGCACGATTTTCGCAGGCCCAGCGTCCTCCCTCGATATCCATATAAACGGCCAGTACACGCAATCAACACTCTCAGAACGAAATCAGCAAATATATAACATGAAAATATTAAGCCTGAATCACTCGCGAATAAATACAGTGCGTTCAGTGCACACAGATGACTAGAAACTGTAGGGGGGTGGGGCATCGATGAAGAAGTATTGTTATCGGGTAACAGTCTTATATAGATTTAACAGGATAAGCTCTTTTCTTTAGTGAAGAATTCTGGGTATAGAATCAAGTGCGCATGAGATGAAAATCACGTCAGGCAGCGAATGCAAAAACGCAGATTTTACGGCTTTATTTATTTAATTTTATGCCAAACAGTACGAGACACGTTAATAAGAGAAGTATTCTTAATACTTCAAGAGTAACAAAAACCGCATGAAAAGAAACTTTCCTTTCGGGAAATAAGAAAGACATGAAGTGATAATGTCGAATAAAAAATGGCGTATCCAGGTATTGATTGATTCCATACGTCATAGGAATATTTAAATCATTAGTAATAAGGAATGATAGATGTCTATAAAATTTTGTTGAATTGAAAGCAGGTAATACATCAGTTGAAGAAGTGAGGTAGGCTTGAGGCAATTATTTAATGCGCCATGACACTTCCGGATGTGAGCAAACATAACATTCAACAACTTCCTGTCTTTTGTCACTCTCATAACTTCTGGCATATAACCATCGATTTTCAAAGCTTTTTATTCCTTCGATTTATTCAATTTTGTTAAGTATATCTCATTGCTTTTCGTTTCCTGAATATATATATATATATATATATATATATATATATATATATATATATATACACTTGTGCAAATTAATTGAAACAAAAAGAATAATTCCATTATTATTTACTTTTTTTCATATTCTTCAAATGAAGCCTGGCACAGTGCACAAGTTATTATTTCGTATGTCTATTCCACAAAGTCGTTCCTTGCAGATTGTCCACAGATTCTCGATTGAATTTAAATCAGGAGTGTTTCCAGCCCAATCTATAGTAATTTGATTTACTCACCGGTAAGATTTGCCAGTGTGTTCGTTCACCGTTATGTTTTTCATACGCTTCCTTGCAGACAATGGCCGTAGGACAACTAATCAACAGTGAAGATAATAGTGCCTGGATGTGATGAAAATCTGATAAAATCAAGACTGATGCAATATTTTTGAGGGCCAAACAAATTTCATCATACATCGCTAAAATAGATTCATATTACTGCACACCACAAGAAATCACCTAATCTGAGGAATAAATAGAAATCGAATATGCGCTATGACTCGAGTGGGTCTAAAACTGACCGTATGGAGAAAGAAAAGAAACTAAAGCAATTGTTTCAATTAATTTCCACAAGGGTGTATGTGTTTCCTGAATATTCTCTTGCCTTCAATATGACATACGACAGTTAAAACGTCTATGCCAAGTTTTCTCATAATGTGACATAATGATTTCAACTGTATCTTTCTAATTGTAAGTAAAATCTTGCCTTAAGAATTAATATACTTATTTTTAATCCACATTTTTATTACTTCAAGCGTTATCGCCGTGGATACATCGTATTTGAAATAGACGCCTCATTTTTTTATCTGTCTATATTTCTGATATGAGGTATTATGTATATTATTTACATTATTCGGACTATTGTCCTAATCTTCGTCGCCATATTTCTTACAACTTTTCGGCCCTTCAGTATCTGTCTATATTTGTGATATGAGGTATTATGTACACTATTTACATTATTCGGACTATTGTCCTCATCTTTGTTGCTATATTTATTATAACGTTTCGGCAGTTGTACGCCCCGGCCTTCATCAGGTGATTGGAATGTCGAACTGAACCCTTTATTTCGCTCACTGGGGTAGACTGTTCTAATTCCACGTGCCATGTTTAATAGATGTCAGTTATCAGTTATCTCCTGTTAATTTTCCCTCTGACAGTTCTCCACTGACTTAACCGGGTATTGAACTCACACTCTTTGGGTCCTGTCACTGGATCTAACCAACGCCTTTATCCACTGTGGCATGTGTCCTCAAGTTCATAATTATAAAATTAAAAAGAATATACTGGCAACTACTAAAAACACATCGAATATTTTTTTGTTGTTCTTGGTCTTACATTGTCTGATTTATATCCGAAAAAATATTATTTCGACTCAAGAATTTTTTTAAGGTTCATGTCTGTTCTCAAGACCATAGAAAATATTAAAATATTCGTTGTTTGCGGGAACATTCATATCTTATCTAAGAATGTCGCCCAGTTATCACCATTTTCCCTCATATTTTTGTTTTGTTTATATATATATATATATATATATATATATATATATATATATATATGTTCCTTTGTACTACCGCGATAGTCCAAGGTAGAACCAATAAAGAAGAACTCGAACACGGATATGGAATAACACAGATATATTACGATCAGGAATATATACAGAGAAGTAGAAAGTGTTAGGACGAACAATCAGGTTTAGTAATTATTGTCTGAACGCGACTCTGTTTCGGACTGCCTCTGACTCGACTGACTGACTCGCTCACTCTGACTGACTGACAGACTCCTGACGGACCTCACTCCAGACTTCAGGCTGAACTCCCTTCTTCCTCTTGAGGCGCAGTATTTATTACGTATGGAATAGTCCATTATGTTATTATGGGTAAGGTCCCATACAAAGATATATATATATATATATATATATATGAAAATATATAGAAAATAGGAAGGAAATGGTTAGGTAAATAATCCAAATTCCCTTAGCATTTTAGTTATTATTTTTAAAAAATAGTGCTCGATACAAAAGTAGAGCATAAATATAATTATTTATTTAAAAATATGATTCCAAATCGCTACATAAGAGGTCTCATGTTTCAAAACAAGAGCCGAAAACTTCAATATAATCATTTAAATTAAATTGAGTTTAAATTAAAATGGGCTCCGTTCCATCTTCAAGCGAAACTTTTGTTGGAATAACGTATATCTGAAATTTACTTGTTTTAAAAATTGAAATCAAAATCTCCATGGTAACAGCAAAAGGCGAATTGTTTAAAATTGGGTAGGCGAGTGTAGGGTGTTAATAATAAGTAGCGGTATAGAGATACTTTCAAGATGTCAAGTCGGGGAAAGGTGGGGTGTCTAAAATGAAACGGAAGATGTATTAACCTTCGTCTAGTTTGCTTGTCTATGGAGATTTATTTTATTTTTTTTTTTTTATTATGAAAGGGAATTGTGCATATAAAAAAAAAGAAAAACTTTCGTAACGTTTGTTTTTTTGACGACTTCATAAAGGGTTATCTATTATGTAAGGTATTTAAACTACTTATTTGGGCTATGGATTATGAAGGGTGTTATGTTGTATGCATGTTTGTAGTTAATTATTCCTACTATGAATCTAGTGATTGGGCTATTTGTTAAACAAGTTATTATAAATTTTTTTTAATTTTTTTTTTTTTGTTTTAGCTAATAATTCAAACCAAAAATCTGATGATGCCTACAGAAAACCGTTAACTCGTGTCTATTATTTAATAGATTATTATTATTTAGAAGTTTAATAATGTGTAATTTTTCATGGAGGCACAAAGGGCATGGGTCATCCCAAGCTTTAAATGTTCTAGCCTTATCAATGATTTTCCATTTAACTTTTGGTGTCCTATTTGTTTCCTTCAGGTGCCAAAAATATTTTGATAGTGAAGTCTGATTTCTTTTGTTTTCAGCGTTGCTACTGCGCGCTCCAAAAACAATAACTCATTTCCAATAGCATTTTCGGATACAACAATACATATATTTTCGTTGTCCTCTTATTACTAAGAGAAAAAACAAGAACAACATCTATTCTATACCTGAAGATGTCTGTAGGAACAGACGAAGGCTTGTAGTAAAATAAGAACTAATACGGCAGAAATTTATAGAAACAAGGATCATTTCATTCATAACGGATTCGGAGGTTTTTGTATATTATTTCAATTGTTTGCGACGATGGATTTCTCGCCAATTAAATCATTAACCTTTGCATTTGTTTTTGTGTGAATAATTCATGAATTTGTAAATTGATTGCACGTTTATCGTAATATATATACACATATACATGTGTGTATATATGTATATATGCAAGCACACACACACACATATATATATATATATGCGTGTGTGTGTGTTTGTGGTTTGTCTCTGTGTGCGCGCGCGTGTGTGATAAAAATTTTAACGTATGTAATATATATGTATAAAAGTATCAAGGATAGAGCGTGATGTTCAGTCAATCAAGCCAATATATATATATATATATATATATATATATATATATATATATCAGCCAGCCTGATGATGGCGTTTAGCATGAAACAGCCTGTCGCCTCTGACTTCAATGTTCACTTTTATATTTATATTTACATACGCTCTGATATTGAGCACTTTATCCCATAAATATAGCACATTTTAAAACAATATCTCTCTCTCTCTCTCTATATATATATATATATATATATATATATATATATATATATATGTGTGTGTGTGTGTGTGTGTGTTTGTGGTAATGGATAGCGGCTTGGATTGAGGAATCGGAGAGCCGTGTTTGAATTCAGTCTAATCCATTGCATTCAGTTACGTGCTAATAACATTGGGAAAAGTGTGAATCCTCTTCTTCTCCCTCCAGCTATGGGTAAATAGCAGGACAGATTGGGTTCTATAGCCTTGGATGGCAACTGGTCTAGGAGAAGGACAAATCTGAATTCAAAACCTGCGGAGGGTCGTTTGGGGAATACGTAGTGCACCAGGTCTCTG